GTGGAATGACATTTGGGCTTGTCATCCTAAAAACTGGATCTTAAAAATAATCTGGACCACTTTTGTCCACTATGGCTTTACATAAATCTAGAATAGCTTCTGTAACGGTCGTCCAAACGGCCCATGTCCTATGTTGCTGATCAGCCGATCACTGAACGAACGCCACAAAAGGAAGAACTTTTTCTTTTAATGAGTTTTAGATTTACTAGATTAAGACTGTTGATAGGAGTCATTGAGTATGCAAGCTTTCAGCAACAGGAGTATGCATTTGACAATGCAAAGACAGGTGGCGGGTGAACGACTTTCGTTGGGTGTACATGTTCTTCGGCAATGTGATCCAAATCTGAAAATTAAAACTTGTGAAAAGATTCTCAGTTTTCGTTGAATACAGTCTGAACAAACAGGTAAGCAAATATCTGCAAATACACTATTGTACTTGTTGACAATCGTGCTATAAAATCAAACAAGGATAACGTAATTTGAACTTTCAGTTGATCGTTCTTTGCTGATTTTAAGGTGAAAACTGGACAGAAACGTAAACACTTTTTAAATGATCTTCAGTTACAGAGGTATAGAATTTTCTGATAGCTTTCTCCCCGGCTGAGTAAAGACAGCAATACATACACAGGATCTCATGAATGTCCCGGTCATCCGCTAGATAAGGAACTGTCTCATTCGGTGCTAACAGCAATTGTGTTTTGCTTCAAGAAGAAAAGCTCGACCATGTTTTTCTCCTTGGTTGTTGTCTCGCTGCTTCTTGTCTCAGGCAGTGCTGCTGACGATGTTGATCCCGATAATGAAGGAGAGGACGAGATGGAGCTTGCTGTGGTAAGTTAAAGTCTCAGCTCCAAATAAAGATACTTTGGTAATAAAGATAACTCCAAGTACGTAGGTTAAGTATTTTTTTTTTTATTACGCTGCTAGTAGACCAAGGTCGAATTCCAGCTATTCTTTTCAGTTTTTCTCGTTCGACACCAGCGCTATGAACAGTTTTTTTTGTTGTTGTTAACTAAGACCTCGTTGTAACATTTCTTAAAACGGTACTGTTACTGATAAAGATTCTGTCAGTGTTTCTCGTTAATTACGTAGGCAATCACTTCGCATTATTCGTCTTACAGCTGTAGCTGTTGTCGGTTAGAAGCAAAGCGACAACCCACTGAGAAAATGAGTCATTTTAGCTATTTTTTTCTTTTAGGCAGCCATACTCCATGTTGTTGAAAGGCATTTAAAAGATCGGAAACAGTTTCCGTGTTTCTATCGAGGTATAGAAACACGAGTGGAGGCTTTAGTTTGGGAANGAGAGTTATTAGCACAGTTCAATGTGTTGCTTCATATAAGTAGGTCTGAAATTTAAATTTACCTAAGTCGAGTTAAACTTTGCTCACGCCATGCACCATGAAAATAATTGCATTTCCTAAACAATAGATACACACATTTGATATCAACTGACTGGCTTAAACTAAGTAGAAATTCCTATCTTAAACAAGGTAAAAAAGAAATGTAACTCGGCAAACATTATGGTTCCTCGATATTTTATATTTTAAAACCTTTACGTTTCCTTTGATTCTTGCAGAAATATCTGACTGACTACCACTACATATCACCATCCAAATCGGGAAACCACGACGTTGGTGAAGCAGTTAAGAAGTTTCAGAACTATTTCCATCTGCCAGAGACAGGAGAAGTGGACGAAGAGACGTTGAACGCCATGAAGAAACCACGCTGTGGAGACCCGGACGTTGAAGAGGAAGCAAGTCGCTTCAAACGATATGATGCTGTGAGGTCTTGGTCCAAGACAAGTTTCACGTATTATATCAAATATTCTGGTCAAGACTTGTCNACTTCCCAGTAACAAAATAACTGAGAGCTATTATAACAGTTCAATTTGTTACTTCATATAAGTAGGTCTGAGATTTAAATCTACCTAAGTCGAGTTAAATTTTGCTCGCGCCATACACACAATAAAATGATTGCATCTCCTGAACAACAGATACACACATTTGATGTAAACTGAATGGCCTAAGCTGAGTAGAAACACATAATTCCTATCTTAAACAAGGTAAAAAAAATGTAACCCGGCAAACATTATGATTTCTTGAAATTTTACATTTTAAAACCTTTACGTTTCCTTTGATTCTTGCAGAAATATCTGACTGAGTACCACTACATATCACCATCCAAATCAGGAAACCATGACGTTGGTGAAGCAGTTAAGAAGTTTCAGAACTATTTTCATCTGCCAGAGACAGGAGAAGTGGACGAAGACACGTTGAACGTTATGAAGAAACCGCGCTGTGGAGACCCGGACGTTGAAGAAGAAGCAAGTCGCTTTAAACGATTTGATGCTGTGAGGTCTTGGTCCAAGACAAGTTTCACGTATTATATCAAATATTCTGGTCAAGACTTGTCAGAGTCAGATCAGCAGAAGGCCATCTCTCAAGCGTTTCAGAAATGGAAAGATGCCTGTAATGCGCTTACCTTTACTCGAACAACTGACCCTAGCAGCCCTGACTTTAAGATCAGGTTAGAGTAAAACTTTTATCTTCTTATTTTTGTTTGTTTTATTGAGTTTTGTTTAGTCTTGTTTCTGTTTTTGCTCTTGCCTTTTGTTTGTTTTGCTTTTTGGTAGGAAAAA